TAGACGTATACTTAAAGAAATTAGTGCCCCATTAACACAGGATCGAGCATGGAATTCCCGTAATAATCCGTACAATAGGTTCGCGTATGAGTCAGGAATTAAATGTTTCTACGAGTAAAGATTGGTGTATTAAAGGACTTAACCATGGTTTAGGTGTTCCATACAATGGACAAGCTTCGAGCTTTCTTCCAAATTATCTATATCTATGGCACCGAGTTCAGTACGCACAGTGTGAAGAACCTTAGTAGTCTTCGCAGAAAGTTTTTCTTGTGAGTAGTCTACAAAACCTAATTCATAACGAACAAAGTTGATGCCATGTTTACTGGCTATCGTAGACAAGGCTAGGGGCTTACGAGTACAAGAATTCATAAGATCAATATCCGGAGAGCCACGCAGTCGCAATATTCCTTTACTATCTATCGTAAACTTTTAATAGTCACGACCAATAGGAGTTTCTTTTAAGGCATCATAATAATCATTAACGGCTGGTTTCAAAAGTTCATCGTTAAGATTCGTAAAGCTGGTTTCATCAGTATCTCTTCGATTGTACTAGTATCAGTTATGTTATCTAGATTAAAATCATCCATTTTTATATTCAACATAAGATTACATAATTTTAATAAAAACAATGTCTTCGCAATACGGACGCAAGTTAAATCCACAACGTAGACTTCGGGATCCATTAGGGGTCAAAGCAATTCGCCAGTCTGTAACTATAACTAATAACCCGAGTGCCATTGATCAGAATCAAACGCTTCTGGTTCGCTTTTCTAATCTAAGCGCTCACGATGTGTTAGTTCCAGGAACTGCCCGACTATCATTTAAAATTAGTTTGACTTCTTCCGACGCTAACAGAGAGCTCGTTCAGAACATAGGTCATGCGATTGTTAAGATAATTGCGATTAAAATTGGCGGTTATGAGGTTTTGAGTATTGACGACAGTGATGTATACTTCTGTTACATGGATCTCTGGAGAACGGCTGAATAAGTACCAAGGTATTTGTAATAGGAACACATTGAGACTGCATGTGGGTGCTGATAGTGGTGATAATACCATCGTAGAAGAAAAGGCTGTTGCTGATGCATTAGGTAATCGATTCCATATTCCACTTGACTTTGAATTTCTAGATAGTCACATGCACTTCTATCAAGCATCCCTAGGCGATAGGTTAGAATACAAACTCACTTTTAATGACTACAGCAGAGTAATCAAAGCCACTGAAGATGCTACTAGCTATTCCATTACAATATCTCACTGGAGTATGATATGATAACAGATCCTGAATTAGCCAGACAAATTCGTAACCAGTATACCGGAAGTTAAGCCATTTTGTACGATCACGTGCTTCGACACCGAAAGATCACCAGGAACAAAAGATATAAGACATGGAATATCAATCTAAACATCCCCGCGAGATCATTGAAGGGTATTTTAATGTTGTTAGAAGACCCCTCTGAACCATTTGCAAGAGATACCGAGGCGTTCTACAACCCCAAGATTACAAAAGTAGAATTGACTATCGAGGGCGTGCCTAATCAACTATATAGTCAAGGCGTGCGAGCATATCAACAGTGGGATGAGATTAAAAAACTCCCTTCTATAAAACGAACCCCAGAAGTTAACGCAGTCGTGAAAGATCTGTCTCTCGGGGATGTATCGATGGTTGAATTCCTTACCACAAAGTATGCGCTATGGCTCGACATGCGAACCACAGACGATGACCAACTACACAGCATTGGGTGGAGAAAAGACAATGCCAGCGAGGGTGTTACTATACAGATAACGAAGCTCTTCGAAGCGGCTGGTAAATTAAACATATATTTGTACATGATTATTGACGCGCAACTAATCGTATTTTCTTGACTTTTTTTCCAAAAAACACAGCTGTGTAGAAGGGGGTGCGCATTATACATGAAATAATGATGTTTTTTTCCCCCATGGAAAGATATAACCGTGAGCACGTAACACCGGAAATACCATGTAAACAAATCCATACTGAAGTACGCAAATTAATCATGTAATTACACTGTCTGGCTATAAAAAGTGTTCTTTGTATATCTGGACTTATGTATGTAACTTATTTCTTTAATTTTATTAAAAATTCCTTTTAATATTGTTTTAAGTAATTTCGGCGAAATCGTGTGTGAAGCGATTGGAAGATCGCACAACTCACCGTTATTAACAGCAACCACAGTCAGATTACTGCTATTTATGCATTGAAACGAACATTAGTTGACAGAGAACGGATACATATATCATAAATGCCATACTTTGACTCGTTAAAAGTCATATTTGTTATAGTTTGACTATTTTATGTCAACACGTAGTTCTCGCGATCACGCAATCACGTGCACGGGAGCCTTGACGGTGAGTGGTCAGACTGGTTCCATGTGAAAAATAATAACCGGCAATAGCGATCAGCTGCTTCGCTTAGGGTTATTATTATTTAAAATATGTTTAGTAAAAGCTGCAACTAAATTAACAAGATATTGGGATATATTATTCCTGATAAAAAAAAATAGTTTCAGATACAATTTTTGCCCATCCTTGCATTAAAATCCTGTAAAGTTATATCATTAGGTGTGTCTTGACCGATTCACCGGTAGATTCCAAGAAAACGTGTGTACAGCTGATTGCTTTTTCTGGCTTAGTTAACAAGATGTAATAATCGGATGTAAATTTCGAAATTGTACTGACCAAGTTTCTCATCACCCGTTCGTTTACCGGAATTCGCTGAAGGGGTAGATCTACGGTGTAATTTTTTTCTGCGCTTGACATTCAAATTTTTTTTCTTCAAAATACTGAATCCGCTAGAGGGGGGTGCGCATTATACATGGGTGCACACTATACTCAAGAAAATACGGTAATATACAGTGATCGCTCGCTATTGCGCTACCAATGGGGTCCAAATAATTGGTGGGCGTTATAGACGATGAGCCGTTTAACCGAGGCCGAGGCGGGGGAGCGCGCTCGGCAAATCTCAAATCATCAATATGTGTTTATCTCACGTCACGTCAAAATAGTATATATTTTTATGGACCTAGATCTACCTGTAATATCATTCATTTATTAAATCTGTCATATTTCACAATGTCTGAAATACGTATTCCATTCTAATTTATCATTTTTTATCAATAAATTAAAAAATTATTCACTATTTCCCGCGATGTTATTGAAAATAAAATTCTCGGACACACATTTCGACAACGGGTCCGCATCGAACATGTCAAAGAGCAAAATAAAGACTATTTTAAGCAAATCTTTAAATATATTATACAAAGTGATAAATAAAATCAACAAAAATATATCTAAAAGTAATCAAACTTACATCTAAGTTATTATTTCCATCGTTTCGTGCGATTGCGTGTAATGTAAGTCAAATGACATCTCGGCTTTCGTCGCCTTGAATTCTCGGCTCGGACACAACGTTTAATGCAAAAATATATGCATGAAAAATCTTTGTCACAGCTCGTAACCTAGCACGATACATTCGCGAAGTTCCATATTTTTAATATATATCGTGATTTCCTGCTTAAAATTTAGAATAACACGATTTAACAAAAAATCTTTCGCTAACTTCTGAAATTTATCAAACACGAGCTTTGTATCACAGCTTGATTGGCTGCCTGAGGTCACGTGCTCAAAATTGACCAATCACGAAACTTGTAGCAGATTTCGGCAAGAAAGCGTCATTAGAAACAAATTTTAATCCAATGAAATCGCTTGTTATAACTACGGGGAAAAAACAGGCGATGTTACGAAAGCGCGATTACGAAATGAATGACCGCCGTGTTGTGACAGCAACTACATGTGTGTGACAGTTTAGCCTTAAATTGGATTGCCCACTAATTAAGAATATAATCTTCACTTGTGGTTCTCTTTTATTGCATGCATGCGCTTCTAAGATCAAAGGATGTATAGTGTGAAAAGTTAACTAGTAGAACAATCGTATTTCCGGGACCTGCCGCGGATGTTTTCAAACAGATTATTAGAACTCCATTCAGCGATAAACCGTTGATTATGCAATGAGAAGCGTTATGTGCAAATAAACAACGAACAACAATACAATCATGTCTGTGTAAAACTCTCAGTATTAAAAGTGTACATAAATTTTGGGAGCCATGCGTTACCGCGCGTAATAACCGAAGTAGCGCTTTATCGAAGAGCGCAATAGCGAGCGATCACTGTACAGAATGGAAGATTAGTGCCGCACTGCGCTATCAGCTGTGGGCAAACGGGTTGCAGAAAAAAAGATTTTATTCTAGATATTTTACAAAGTCATTATCAGGATGTTTTCACCCATATTATTGTTCTGTGCCCGACTATAAACGTTAATAAAACATACCTAGAGAGAGATTGGGATATGAATGATCCCTGGGTGTACAAAGTTGATCCGGGCGATCGTTTACAACACTGTTTACGAGTATTTCACGAAAAATACAAAGGAGAATCAACCCTTTTTATAATAGACGATTGCAGCGCGAGTAAAGAACTTACCAAAAAAAAAGATATGCTTTCATATTTAGCATTCTCCCAACGACATATGGAGCATAGCTCAAAAATACAACTCTGTCCTCAAAGATCTCAGAGTGCAAACAAAATGGGTAGCCCTGTTTCATTGCAAAGACCGAGATTCATTTGAGGAATGTCTACGCGAAAATGATGTTATTTCTACCAAGCTCGAACGAGATAAAGTCAGAAAACTGTAAGCGGAAACGAAGCACTGTAAACTCGTATTAAAAACCAATCAACCAGCTGCTTATGCAACTGCTTAGCAAACTTTAGCAACTAATTAGCAAACTTTAGCAACTGCTTAGCAAACTTTAGCAACTAATTAGCAAACTTTAGCAACTGCTGAGCAAAATATGGCAAAATTATAACAAAATTATAGCAAATTTAGCAAAAATATAGCAAAAATGTGATAAATTGAACATTAGCGGTTATTATGTACAATGTGGTTTGAAATCTTCAGTCTTTTGTAACAGTTTATTATTTTGGGCTGCATTGGATATGCAATATTTTATTATGTTAGACTTAAATATCTCCTTAGGGTATTACATTATGGAATGTGATGAACTTATCGAACAAATGCTCCAAGATGGGCCAGAACCTATGGTAGATAAATCTTTAGATAAACATAGAGAAAGACTCACGGCTTTGGTAGCCGGTAGAAAATGTTCCCAAAATTTGGGCGAAAATTATACCACTGAAAAAATTGATAACATGACCGATGAAGAAATGAAAAAACTGTACGCACGTTACGAGTCTAGACTGGGAACTACCATGACTAAAACAATAGGTTTGGATATGTTACAACTATTCACAGTCGTAGCTAGTATGTTTCTTCCTATCCCGGCAGAAATCGCATGTATTTATGCAAATCTCTAGAGAAAGACCCATTCATAAACACACTTTAAGCGCAGTAAGCTGTGAGTTTTATCATAGATACGGAATGTTCTTAGCGTTCAGTTAGAGTTAAGCCCTCAAGTAATGTTATAAAGCAATGACTACTCCAGTTACAGATGGTAAAATGTTGGTAAACGCAACGTATCATTCAGCGGTGGTCAGCGGTGGTCAGCGGTGGTCAGCAGCTTGGCCATTGGCTTGGCCAGTGGCTATGCCCGTATAGCTATAATGATTACTAAAGCCACACCACCCAAGCTAGATTTTAATGGTTATGATATCGGTATGATGGTTCTAGATGTAGGCCTAGCAATGGCGACAAAAGATATGCTAATCAAACAAGGGCTTATCCCAGAAGACATAATGAAGTAATTAAACATTTGAAAATTTTTCATATATAGTATGGCATCAAATGTGATGATGGTCGGTGGAGCTAATAGAGTCGCTGATAGGGTCAGGAAGCAGATTATTTATGCTAGGAAGACAGATTACATCAATGAGAGGAATAGGTTTGGGAGAATGTGTTTAGATATATGGAAATATAACCATTTAGACATTTGACTCATTTTGTATATACCATTAACCCTTTCGCCCCGACTGCCCGATTTATCGGGCAGCATAAACCGTGTCCCAGTACCTGGCTGCCCGAAAAATCGGGCGGCTACTGTCCAAGCCCCACACATGGCTGCCCGATAAATCGGGCGGCACGACCGTGTTTACAAAATCGCTCTTTCTACTTCCTTTCTCGTGTGTCATTCAATGGAATTTCCGAGTCTTTTTGGCGCAAAAATCGCGAATGTCTGCTGTTTTCGCGACAGGTATTTTTCTCGCTTGAATCGTAAATCTAGCGTAATGGCGGCCAGCTACGATTCGGATAGCGATCAGATGACTAACAACGACTCTATCGGGAATAATAATGTGTTTGATTTGAATAATTTACGCGAAGGGGAGAGGGAATTTCGCGGATATTTTCGTGAAGATTTTGACGGTTTCGACGAGGTGTCCCCCCCCCGCCAACTTTCAAGAATGGGAGTGGCAGAGGGACCACAACGGTGGAGACATGAGGGATTTTGAAGAGGCGACCGGACTCAAGAATATATATTGACACGTTGAGTGAAGTATCGTGCTATTGATTTTTTCCAACTGTTTTACAATGATTCTGTGTTTGAACAGATTATCAGTGCGATGAATGAGAATGCAGCCTACACGTGAACGAGCGATCACAACAACAACAAAGGTGAGTGGCATGACGTATCTCTTTTCTTTTTTTTTAAATTTAATTTTCTGATCGCAATCCGAATTGTAGTTTGCCGGTTTGTCGTATGTCCTTATATTTCGCTCAATTTGAATAAAATTTATTTCCATATTCATGTTTGTTTTCTTGTTTTTTACATCTTAATTTAAATTTTAGTAATTGTAATAATTATTTATTTATTAATTGATGTAATAAAGTACTGATTTAATTTATTATGCAATTGTAAATAGCAGTGTATTGTAAATTGTTATCACAACTTGTATATTTGCAGAACTTGAATTTACAATCTTTCAGTCCTTTTACAATCTTTCCCTCCTTTCAGATCAATCTGTGATATCTTCTCTGTGATGTCATTCTTATAGTAGCTGTGGTTCAATGTTCAGGTAATGTGATAAATTACTATTTAAAAACTTAAATACTTAATTTTTGTTTCAAATCCTGAAAAAGAACAAAATAAATCAAATATTTGTGTTTTTACCTGTGTTAACGAGTTTACCTGCGTTAACAAGTTTACCTGAGTTAACGAGTTTACCTAAGAGGCTGTAAGTGTATCATAAGTAATATGTGACATCAGTATAGAAAACATAGTCAGTACCAAGAGTTGTAAACTTGTTTATTTGTTTACAGATGTGCATGAAGAGAATTTACCTGTAATACCTGGGATTACCTGTGCCGTCCAAGATGACAAGACCACTGTGTTATGTTTACCTTGTATCTGTGATTTATTTTTGTGATTTTTAATACAATTTGAGCCAAAATTCATTGTCTGTTTTCATTTTTTCAGTGTTTTCAAGTTTTATTTCACTTGTAAACACCTGTAATTAGAAAATAACAAAGGTTAGAGACAATAACAACAAAGAATATTACAGTATACTTAATCCTCTTTACAATGGTATATGATATATGTATATTAAAAGCAAGTTTCTGGTAGAAAAAGTGCATAAAAAATGATAGTGTGATTTTCCAATAATACTGCCAGGGAGGCCAGTGTGCAGGCCTTGTCAGTGTCAGGGACTGCAGGGTCTCAAGGGACATAACTCTGGGGCAGCCAGTGATGAAAGAGTTAAACCACAATGGTTTTTGTTAGAGAGTTGAAGGCCTTGGTAAAACAATGTGGTCTACATGGTTATTCTCGAATGAGAAAAGCTGAATTGATTACCTTACTAGGTTTGGAATACAACAAACCCCAGACTGTTAGAGAACTCAAAGCTCAAGCGAAAAAAAGTGGGCTGAGAGGTTATTCTCAAATGAGAAAAGCTGAATTGATTGATTTACTGAATGTTGATAAAAATCAACCAGATGATAAAAATAATCAACCTGTTGCGTTAAGATTTGTACCCACAGGCGGCCATGATATTTGTTATTTTATAAATCAATGGCTATTTATATCAGTTGCCCGATTTTTATATATAAAAAAGGATGCATATTGTATACATGATGGTGATGAGTATTAACCTGTTTTATATTAATTTCATGGCTTAGAGATACTGTGCATACGAGAGATTATTCAATTTTAGTTGTGAATAAAATAAGAGAGGCTTTTCCTGCATAATCAAACAAGGGTTTCCAGTATGCAAGACCATGAGTTGAACATGTGATTTTATGTACACCAGAAATGCATCAGATACATTGCCTTAGCATGTAATCTGGTCAGTTTGCATGCTCCTTTGTAGTTGTTAGACGACGGTAGTCAGTCACAGATTAGTTTTTAAAATGAATGCAATGTATTTTTGTAAGGAAGTTGTCTGAGTCTCTCTCTCACCGAAAGATGCAAGGAACACAACATGGCATGTTCAGTCAGATTACATTTCTTTTTCTCCACTGTACTTTGTATGACTATTTAACATGTTTTAAATAAATCAATATATCTCCTTAAGCCCTTTTTCAGCTAGTACTTGATCAATGCACTTTCCTCAAATTTGTTCATTTTTCAAAGGCCACATCACCCTGCTCATCCTACTGACATGTCTTGGGGAAACAATTTGCTCAATTGACAAATTTTGTTGTTGATATACCTACTACAACAATAATGCTATGTCCACAAAAAGGATTTCTTATCACGCAATTCCTTCTATGTCAGGTAAGTAGTACAGGAGGCAGAAAAGCGTAGGCTTTTAGCCCTTCCCAGGGGATGCTGAATGTGTCTACCGCCCAAGCCTACGGACCTGGAATTGGTAAGACATATGTCATAAGTTGGTGGTTCTTATGTGTTGCGAAAAGGACGATATTTGGATTGACCGAAGCATTGAACCGCCCCTGGATGAAGTTTCGACTCCATGGGAGCTATCCTGTCTGGTTGGGATAAAGCATCTGCCAGAATGTTCTGACATCCAGGGATGTACTGAACAAGGAATTGTAGTCCTAGATGATCCACTACATGAAACAATCTGAACATCTGTTGAAGCATGGAGTGAGAGTGCGCACCATCGTGAGTTGAGTGTTCCTCAGCCGCTCGTGCCAATGTGATATTGCCAAGAATGAGTGCCAGGTTCGTTGTGCACCGGTTCACTGCCATGAGGCTGTCTGGTCTTGAAGATGTGCACACCACCCCTGAAGGGAGGCATCTACGAACAGGTGTAGTTTGGGGCTAGCCCGGATTAGGAGATACCTCCTAAGACATCCAACTCTGGAACTTCCAAAACCTGCGGCCAGAGGGATGGATGGGTACATGCAGGTAAGCATCCAGTAAGTCCCGGCTGATCTGGGAATTGAAAGCATTGATACCAGCCCAGAGCAGTTTCAAGGTTGTGAGGCAGAAGTAAGGTGGATGCTCCAGGTAGCGCTCGTTGAACACGGAGAGATTGTGAATCATCCCCATCTTGTCTGAGTTCTTCTTGTGTACGAGAAAGATGGAAGAGAGCCTGGTGTACAATCTAATGGCTTTCTTCTCGAGCAAGATGTCTATGTTGGATCCCAGTAGTTGATGTTGCTTTCTTTGTTGAACCAAAGGTGTAGGAGATGTGGTTAATGGAGAGTCTACTGCTATGTCCAAGCGATAGCCATAGCACAGTACATTTAGTATGAATGCATCTGCAAGTCTGATTCAGTTCTGCCAGAAAAGGCCTAGCCTCCCACCTGCAGGGGTGTCGATGATTGGGACGACTAGGGGTGGAGGTTCCCAGTCAACGGGTCAATGCTTTCCCCTCTTATCCCTGCTCCTGCCCTGGGATTTGCCACGGGGGAATGATAAGTCCTGCTCCATAGCTCGGGATGAAGACGCCAAACTGACTAGGGTTTTTTGGGTGATCGTCTCAGTGAAGGCGAATCTGACATCTGTGATCTTACGGTATTTTCTTGAGTATAGTGCACACTTTTTTCCAAAAAAAACCCCACAGCTGTGTAGAAGGGGGTGAGCATTATACAAGCCATAATGACTTTTCATGTTTTTTTCCCCCCAACGCAAAGACCGTGAGCATGTAACACCAGAAATACCATATCAACAAATCTGTACGCAATGTAGTCTTGTAATTACACTGTCTGGTTCAAGTGTTCATTGTATATCTGGACTTATGTTTGTAACCTAATCATTAATTAACCCCTCATTATTATTTAAGATTCCTTTTAATATTGTTTAAATTAATTACGGTGAAATTGAGTGTAGTGATCAGAAGATCTCACAACTCACTGTTATTTACAGAAACTACGGTCAGATTACCGCTATTTAGTTGTCAGAGAATGGATACATATATCATAAATGCCATACTTTGACTCGTTAAAAGTCATATTTGTTGTAGTTTGACAATTCCATGTAAACTAATAGTTCTCGCGATCAAGTGCGTGTGAGCCTTGAGGTTGACTGGTCAAATTGTGAAAATGTGAAAAAACCCTGGTAGATTCCAAGAAAACGTGTGTAGAGCTGATTGCTTTTTCTGGCTAAACATACAGAAAACTACACAAGGTAATTTTAATGTCTGCATGTAAAACAATGCCTAGCAGAATGGAAAATACCATTTAAATGGTAAATTAACATGTCTGGTGATGTTTTAATCTCAAATTTCAAATTTGTACTGACCAAGTTTCTGAAGGGGTAAACTGCACATAATATTCGAAAATTTTTTTTACAAAAATACTGAATCTCCTAGAGGGGGATGCGCATCATACTTTGGTGGGCACTATACTCAAGAAAATATGTGAAGTGTCGTTGGTTTGGATGAGCCCGGTAAGGTGTTGATAGGCACTGTGCTCGGCATAAGCCCTTGGGATAAGGCGCTCACAGATGTTGACGGGATCGAGGTATGCGCCAGCACATGCCTGGTAGAAGTGCTGTAAGGCGCTTGCTCTGGCGTAACTGTCACTGTCACAGTGGAGGCCAGGGATGCCTGAAAATTACCAACAGGTAACAAAGCTAAATCATGTCTGGTGCAGTGGTACATGGTGGTGGCCCTCCTGGAAACAATGGGTAATGCTCAACCCGAAGTCGAGGGTTGACAGGTGATAATTGTGAAATGATGGCTGGAAGCTTCCCGCGAATCCGACATCCTTCTTGTGTGCAGACGGAATTGCTGTAGTATACGTTCATCCAAAACAACATGGATGAGGATCTTTAGCCGATTTTTGGCCACAAAAGTTACTGTAACGCGCAAGCATAAGTTACGCAAGAAATGAAGTTGTACTGAAAACAGACTTGAAAATATTAGAGTTTTATGTGTATAAATGTCAAACGTGACTCTTCATGGAAGAAAAAAAAAAATTAAGGTCTTTTCATGTGGAATAAACACATATTATTACACAAATGCAAGCATAATAATAAGATATACTCCACCTGTCGCAGAAGAAATTTAACGTGGAAGCAAAGGACAAACCACAAAATTAAAGCCAAACGTTGAGGACCAAGGCAAGACACAACATGTCTGTTTGGTGAGAAGACACTACGGACAATCACTTCACAGCTTCGATGGGTCCACAGAAAAGTAGACTTGAAGTGGAAACAACCTTTTTTTCTAGCTAGGCGCTGTTTTTTTGTCAAAAGTAAGCAGTTGATGGATTGAGGTGTAACGCAGGATAAGCAAAAAATTGGTATTATCATGTTTATTCCAATTCTGTTTCCTTTTTTTCAGTTTTTGCATTAACCACTGACATTACGCTCTGAAGACATTCAACAGGTTCATCTTCTCTATTGCCCCATTTATAACTTATTTTTTTACAATGCGAAAATTAACTCAGAAATACTCAAAATATATTTTTTTGTAAGAATGTCCATGGGCTTCTAGGCTAGCGTTAATTTATTACACAGCTATAATGCTCCATTATACAGAACATAACAATGTCACCTGCAAAACCTTAAAAAAACATTGTCCTCGGCAACTGAAAGTTATCTTCTGTGCAACATAGAAGATAGCACTAATGGTATTGATCTTTAACGGTGGCAGGTAAATGATGGTGAAGTCAGTGAATGTCCTTGTCGTAATCAATACATGCTCATTTTATCTTACCCATCATATGCTGCAAGCCAAACTCACTTCCGCCTCTCATATTTCTAGACGCAATGCACACCAACTGTTAAATCACCAAAGAAAATAGAATATCCAGCACTAACTTCTCATCAGCTTTGACCTTCTAGTTGGTGAAGTGGAATCAAAGATACCGTTTGATATTCATAGTTCACTGGTCACAATCAGAAACTGGAGGGAAACGGCTTCTGGCCAACAATGTCAACAAGGACATGAGTATAATGTTG